GAGCACATGGATGCTGTGGAGGAACTGCCAAGTTGATTAGCCAAGGTCAGGAGGAACTCACAGACTCGGTGTTGGAATGAGATGACATCAGTAAGTCTGTGGCTTTTGAATAATTGGTCCCCAGGTGGTGGCTGTTTGGGGAGGATTACACAGAAAGGCATTGCCTTCTGGGAAGATGTTTGCTTACTGACATGCCCCCTGCCATTATAGGGATAGACTCTGACTCCCCTGGGACTGTAAACCCCAAATAAACCCTTCTGTCTAGAACTTGGTCATGATGTTTCATCACAACAGTAAAAAGGTAACTAAGACACTGTGTGTTAATATATGTGTGTATTTATGTATGTGTGTGTTCATGAACATAGGGGTAGACCTATGTGATGAGTGTGTATGCACATGTGTGTACACAGATATGAGGGCCAGTGGCTAACCTTTGGTACCATCCCTAGGATGCTACTCACCTTGTTTGAGACTGGGACTCTCCCTCGGACCCGGGGCTCACTGATTGGTTAGGCTAACTAGCCAGCAAGTCCCAGGCATCTGTCTGTTTCTGCTTCCCCAAAGCAGGGACTTCAAGCACGCTCTACAGCACACTGGCATTTTTATGTGAGCTCTGGGAATCAAACTCAGATCCCGATACTTACATTGCAAGCGCCTTAGTGACTGAGTCTTCTCCCCAGCTCTTGACCCCTGACTTTTGTTATCTTCTCCAGAGACCTCTGAGGAGTGAGTCCAGTTGATGGCCTTGGGAACTGGTTAGGGACTCAGCCAGACAGCCATACCACCAATGAATTAGAAGGCTTTGCTCAGCCTAGAAAGAATCCTTCCTCATTGGAAGTCTGATTTCAAATTCTGCAAGACTGAATTTTAAGGGCCAATAGCATATAATGCTGAATTCCATTTGAATAACTTGCCCGGAAAGGATTTGAACTTGAGGTCATCTTCATACCAGTGAGGTCAGTCCAACATCTGCCAATCTTCCTGTTTGGATCATGTTTACAAGATGTCCTGCTCTTCAAAAATTTTTGAGGTATAATTTATAAGCAGTGACTTGCATGATCTTTGAGGCACAAACATTCAAAATGTGGAATAATTCCATATTTCTCTTGCTCCTTGACAACTTCAGACATTTCTCCCTCTCCCTCTCCCTCTCCCTC